TGATTATATAACAGAAATGAAAATATGAATATATACGTAATCAATCGATTTTAATTTTTCATTTTACCAATTATTTCTCTATGACAAAATATATTATTTAAGTATCCGGTATTCGGCCGAATAATATGTAGATATTCGGTATTCGGCCGAATATAATAAAAGCAGCCGAATAGGCCGAATACCGAATAGTAACCGAATATTCGTTGCAAGTCTAATATAAACCGTTATAGTGTTCCTTAAAAGTTCATGAAAAGCACTATTATCATGAGTTATTCCAGGATTTTCAAGCCAATAGTTTAGCTTTTAGAGGGAGGGGACCCTACTCGAACAAAAATTCACAAAAGGATCCTTAATACCTATTCAACGATATTCCACATGATGGGGTAGCAGCTCTAATCTCTTTTACACAGGGACGGACATGACGAAACTATAACAGTTCCTTGTCAGGACTATGGAACCCTAAAAAACTGGGCCCCGTTATGCCCACAGGGTTGGAAAAGACTAAAACTTGAGGTTTTCATCCACCATAACTTAAGAAATAATAAGTTACCAGCCACAGAAATTTAATTTGGTCCCGTGATTAAACTTTTCTTCTTATAACAAAGCAACAGGAAAATGGGTTAGCTTCTTATAAACTAATTCATCTTTTTTACAACATCAACTTAATATTTTAAAGAAAGTGTAAAGTAAAGATCAACAATAACATGTCCTTCTGATTTATATATTGCCACTTAATTTACTATATCAGCCACATTTTTACAACTTATCATCATTCAATCATCTAGCTTCTCAAAAATATATCATTCAAACTTCAATAGACAAAATCATATACTATAACTGAGCATATCCTATTAATAATAATTAATTATTTAATCATAATCTTTTATCGGCAAAATAGCTACGGCACAATTTAACGCATGTGAGCGAAATAACAGCGTCCGCCTATTTCCACCAATCAGAGAGCGCTATTCAATTCATTTACTCTGCTGCCGCCTTTTTTGTCGTTCGTGCGCTTGTATTGCAATTGTTTCATCTGTATTTAATTTAAAGTTTTCATTTAACCATGTATATTTCGGAAACAATACTTGCGCGGGGGGAGAGGTAAATCGACAGACAATATTCTATATTTTTAAGATATATTGGCTTTAATAACTATTTGATGATAAATTGTAGTTAAATTCTTTTTAATGTACTCGGTTAAAAATTAGAGGCTTATAGAATTACTATTTTGGTGTAAGATATTAATATTTTAGAACTTTATTGCTTGACTACATGTTACAAGGGTTACATGCTTAAAAATAAGCACTATTCTGAGTTATAATAATTACAGTGACTTACATAGAAGAGAACTAGCGGCTAAGATAGTATTATTCAGATGCGTGGTGATTACGGTCGACTTAGTAATTTAGATGTTAAGAGGCCAATAATGATATTGAATAGATACCTGTTTATATTAGTAGCAATAGTTATCTACTTTATTTCCCTTGTTGATGGACAGGGGACTATTCCCGAGGGGAATGTTTAATTTGATTTCATTAAAAAAAAAGAATAAATGTAATTTATTCATTATGTTTTGCTGTATATAGCCAATATGTATCTATATAGTTTTAAACTTTCATGGTCACTTACATTATAATAATTTGTTATTTACGGGATTGTTTCATGAAAATGAAATGAAAAATGCAAGCGCCATGATCACATTGTAATTTAAGTAATTGCGGCTAGTCTGTTACTGGCAGATATATTGGTATACCCTCCGACGAAGTTTTTTATTGCGTTCGATACCAGTACCACTGTTCACATTCTCACTACTTACTAGATATTTGCGCCGATGGCCATTTGATCGGCGGCGGTGGCGCTATCGGCGAGGATGGTCGTCAAAAGTAGAATAAAAGATGTCTCGTTAATTTTTAGCTTTTAATTTATTTATTATAATCAACTACTTATAATATCATCATCATCGACCCATGCTCGTCCACTGCTTGACATAGGTCCTAATGCACTACATATATAGGGCATGTTTTATTAGAGATGTTTTTTTTTAATTATTACAATTGTTATTTATCTATCTATCTATATTAAATAGATCTTAAGATTTAGACATCTAGCAGTTCCATTCTTAAAAATAACAAATATAACTATATTAAATGCAATTATAAATTAAAATATTAATAACAAAATAACCTTTATGGCAAAATGCAAAAAAGACAGAAAAGGAATCAAATTTTATAAGCAAGATACAAGTCATTGTAGCTTTTCTACTGGGTTTACCTTGTAATGCAAAACTTTTAATCATATCATGCCTATCAATGACTGGCACAAACTTCATTTCACAATGTCCGTTAAGCTAGCATGGCAAAGTGAGCAGAATTGCTTAAAAAAAAGTGCATCAATTAGTGCTAATTTAGTGCCAAAACCAGAAATTTAATGCCCTCATAGTTTCGCGAAAAAATAGAACACTGCAAGCTTTTAATTAAGCTAGCAGTAAAAAAACAAAATATTTTATTTTTTAGCAATCGAAACTACTAGTATGGCAGTCTGAGCAAGTGACCGGGTTGAATACATCACTCTGGATCGAAGATCTATGATAATCAACTGTTAATAATTTAGTGCTCAATAAGTGCTGGCATTATGTGATAAAAAATTTGGATTTTTTTTTTACATGGCAGTCTGTGCTAGTGACCGGGTTGAAAACTTAGTGCTCTATGAGTGCTGGCATTATGTGATAAATTTGGAAGTGAGAAACAAACAGTTTTGATTCGAACCTATTTAAATGTCTAATAAATAAACACACACGAACATTCGCGCAAGCGCCCTGGGCCTGGAAAAATTATTTCCATATTTTTTATCACATAATGCCAGCACTCATGGAGCACTAAATTATTAAACGTTGATTATCATAGCTCTTGATCCAGAGTTATGTATTCAACTTGGTCACTTGCTCAGACTGTCAAACTAGCAGTTTTGATTGATTGAAAATAAAAAAAAAAATCGAAATTTTTTAGCACTCATTAAGCACTAAATTCCCTATGCATTGCTTTAGTTCTATACCGCGTTAATATAGGCGTTTCAGGTAATACACTACTGCTAGCTTAATTAAATGCTGGCAGTGTTCTAATTTTTCGTGAAACTATGAGAGCATTAAATTTCAGGTTTTGGCACTAAATTAGCACTAAACTAGCACTAATTGATGCACTTTTTTTAAGTGATTCTGCTCACTTTGCCATGCTAGCTTAACAGACGTCATTTCACAGAAAGTCATTTGACATCCACTCATTTAGCAGGCATTCAAACGCATAATTTTGTAAGCCATAATTATCTTTAGGCATAAATTTAATATTCATAACAATTAAAAAGCAGAACCATCATATCACATTACCTATGGCGACTGGCGTTTCGCTGGTTACTGTACCGGCACGCTGGCTGGGCGTGCTTGTAGCGGGAACGCAGTTGAATAGCCAAGGATATCTACTCTTCTGTTCCCTTCAATAAAGAAGTATATATCAACCATGTTATCATTAATGCCAGGAGTTGTATGCTTCTGGAATATAGCCAAAACAAAAGTTTGGTGAAGATTATGTGGAAGGTTGAGTGATTAGGGCGGAGGAAACTAACTCATTGTGATCATTTACCGTTTCTTGTAGAACATCAGATCCAATCCATCAAAATTGAACCTAGAATATCATTTTATTTTGACGCCGAAGAAAATTCCGGCGGCGGCGTACATGTATAATGCGATTCAAATAAGAATAGGAAAGCCATTGACCTCTATCTGTCAAATGTCGCTTGAAAAATACGGTTTGCAAAAAAATCTTGGAACCCTTTTTTAGCACTCCGCTAATTCAAGAAAAAAAACCAAACATTTGGAAACAAACAATAACAAATATTGATAATTAATATCGGTTGATATATTTTTTACTTATTGAGCTTTGACCATGAATGGTTGATAACCTATTTCGTCAACCAAATGTCACTTTTTCAGAAACTCGATTTCATACTTTCATTTACATAAAGGATGCATGTTCATATGTGACCTATTAATAGTGCATGATTATTCATAACTACTCCGGCGGTAATGCAGAGGTGAGCGGAATAGAAGAGCTAGATTCTGATTAATGTTTTTTCTCACAGTCTTAATAAATAAATATTATTAAAAATCGTTTTTTTTCTCAATTTTAGTAAATAAATGTTATTAAAAAAAAAACTGATGCTTTTTCTCACTTAATCTTAGTATATAAGTTTTATTAAATAAAAACTTTTTTTTTTGCTCACTCTATCTATTTGGTTTGAAAAGACAGTTATGACATCACAATATGGCGCCCAGTCGGTCCTATTCTTAGTTAAATCGCATTATATACTGTTCACTCGAAACTGTTCTAGACACACAACACTTACAGTATCGGATCGCGACACGACACTTTTTTTGATTATTCCTGTTTTTTATTATACCATCACTAAATGCATCCTTATTCGTATCATCGTGCTATCACCTCGTAACATGTATAGAGACTGCTAAATCTCGAACGTTAGAGTTTTCATACGTTTGGCAACCCTGAGCGACGCGGCCTCGCCCGCATTACCACACATCGTGGGACAGCGCCTTTAAACGGGAGCACGGACTGTACGTCCACTCCGTCCGCGTGCAGTTTCATGTTATTTCATAGAGCAGCACTGTGAGGCGTGTTTCCCGTCGTAGTGCTGTTCTGAAATAAGACTACTAATGGATTAGAAAAACCACTTCGCGATGGCCGATCATTCGATAGGTGACCAAGGACCTATAATTTCAAACTCGCCCGTGTTTCGGAAGGCACGTTAAGCCATTAGGCCTGACTGCATCTGCAGTCGTTAGCACCCATCAATCGGCACTGGGTCCACATGGTCAGTCATGGAATAGGCCATTCTCCCTATTGCATACATAGGGAATGCTTGTGCCCTAGCAGTGGGGACATTGATAAGAAATTAAGAAGTCAATGTTTTTTTCAATAATATTACATTTTCAGTGCCCATACACTATGATGACCATTGCCGAGTATGTCATCGCTTGGGGGATTTGTTGTGCTGTGAAACATGCCCTGCTGTATTTCATCTGGAATGTGTAGACCCTCCACTAGTTAATGTACCATCTGAAGATTGGCAATGTGCACTTTGCAAGCTTCATAAAACAGTTGGTGTTACTGACTGTCTTCCTGACGCTGAGAAACAAGGTCTACTATGCCGTCATGAACACTTAGGGTTTGATAGACATGGGCGAAAATACTGGTTCATTGCTCGTCGGTTGTTTATGTAAGTACCTAGTAAATGTATATTTTTGTATGTATGTAAATACAGTGGTGGACTACTAACTAATTAGAAACACCTACTATTTTAGTATAAAAAATATATTTATCTATGATAGTTCTTATATTTTAGTGAAGCTGAAAATGGTGGTGTTTGGTACTATTCTACTCCATACCAACTTGAAGAGCTTTTAAGCAAGCTGGATGCTCATGAAATGGAAGCACCATTAGTCAGAGAAATTGTAGAAATGAAACAAGAAATTCACAGACAAATGGAAATAACAGAAAGATTGACTAATCAATCGAAAGGTAATCGCAAATCATATCTAGAAGTGGAAAATGCAAATATTCTTAAACAGAGAAAAGAAAAAAGTGAAAAAGCTCATATGCAAAACATGGGTATAAAACTAGATGACAAAGTTGACACAGGGGCACCGGTAATTGACGGAGACATCGTCAATGAAGTAACAGTCACTAGTGATGACACTACAAATACGAGTAACGACGAAAATCAAGACGCTACTGAAGATGATGATGATGGCAAGAAAATTAAAAACAATTCAAATAGACTGAAATCAATCAATGCGAAAAAGCCTGAAGAGAGTAAGTTAATGTTTTCTTCAAAGTATTTGTACACTTAACTTTGTTGTTTAATGGATTTGTGTCATTTTGCCTAAATGTTTATATTTTAGTTACAGAAAGAGTGACTCGTCTAAAATCTAATCAAATATCTAATGGGACATATCACTTTAAGCTTGGAAATGAAAATTCATTCAAAAATTATATAAACCAATACTCTAACAATCCTTTGGCCTTGAATAAGCCTCAGCGGAATGAGGAGAGAGATAAAAAGCGCTACATGTCTCATAAATTTTCTTTGTCATCATCCCAAGAGTTCAAATGGATTGGTCTTTTAAATGGTAGGCCCTTGAAGTTTTAATAACTTGAATATATATGTTTTTTAATAAATTAATGATTGCTGCATATTTTGTAACATATTAAATTCCTTATTTATTTATAGCTACAAAACCACTACTAGTGGCAACATTACGGCAAACTCTACTACAACTGGAATCTAATATAGTGATACAATTTATGCATCCCAATTGGTCTCTTTTGCGAAAACCTTGGGTACAAGCCGTGCAACTGTGTCAAGCTCCTCGGGATTTTGCTAGAGCACTTTGTGTCCTTCAGGTGAGTAAATATTTCTCACAGATTGTGTAATAAGATAAAATTTGTAGATTTTTTTGGTATTATATACTTTCTTCATTAATATATATATGCGAAGTTAATAATTATTATTAAATACAGGCTTGCATAAAAAGTGTGGTGTTTGTGCCAGCCTGGCATGAGCAGCTTGGGCACGTCAAACTTATAAGAACTACAGCAGCCGAGCGTGAAGAACGTAAAAAACTTGATAAAAGAGAAAAAAAAGAAAGGGATGAAGAAGAAGAACGAAACAGAACAGCTTACAATTTTGTGAAATATTCTCTTGGTCTTCGACATCAAGTAAGAAAGAAAAACCAATATACTAATTCAAACAAAATTGTTTTTACAAAAGCATTAGTTTCAAATAGAAGTATATGAGTTTCTATGGACCATAAGACAAGTACAAAAGGGCTGTTTTTTAACATGCATTCCATAACATTTTTAATACATTCCCACTCTTTTGTACAGATTCCTTTTAGCTCTCAGATGGTTTCCATAATACCAGACATTCTGGCTTAAGTTTTGAAAATGGTAATTTTATGAATTTGGATATACTATATCCGAATTTCTAATTTAGCAACAAAAATTTGGAACTTAAGCTTTCTTGCTAGGATACTTTAAATATATTGTCAAATAACAAATACCTAAGATAGAAAACTAAAGTGATCGTTTTTTATGGTTCAGGGCCATAAGAAATAGTTGCGAAGTAAGAGCAGAGCGCCCCTAGTATTATACAACTATTAACATAGGGTTTATTATACTAACATATACTGTTTTAAAGACATAATTACTTCTTGTAGGCATGGAAACAAAAAGGCGAAGAATATAGAATTCATGGGCAATGGGGTTGGCTTTGGAATTCCTCTACTAGAAAATATAAAAAAACTAACACTGCCACTAAGCTAAACCTTGCAGATGGTCCTGCAAAAATAGCTATACGAGTTAGAGAAGGAACTGTCATTAAAATTCTAGCAGTTGAGCCTAAAACATATGAGTATTTGATGTCTAATGATACCGCAGATAAAGAAGTGTTAGAAAGACGTAAGTATAGTATTTAATGATAATATTTTGGGGCATAGGTTTAAAAAATAAGGGTGTCCTTTACATGTATTTATTCTTTTTTAGTACCTTCATCAATGAGGAATTTGTTAGTCGAAAAAGATGATGAAGATTTTGAAGAAATTGATGTTGAAAAAGCTTTAAGTTCTTCTATCAGGAGATATTATCCTAAGATTGCTAGAAAATCTAAATTGGATGATTTTCTTACACGTCGCACTTATTTAAAATTTATGGAAGAAAAGAAAATAGCAAATTTATTGACAATGGTGAAAAAAGAAGATACGGATGTCAAGAGTGAAGACGATAAAAATATTGATGTGGAAAATGATGAGCCAGATACCGATCTGCCGCCTGTATGTGAAAGCAGTAATGAGAAGAAAAATAATAATTCCAAAACAGTTGAGAGTCTGAGAGACCAGTACCAAAAATTATCTCAGCTGACTAAACATTACAAATGTTACTCATCAAGTTGTAACAAAATTGAACCATCTTCTTTATTGCAAGGATCAGGTGTCAAAGTTAGGTGCTATTCACCTTTATGCATCACCAAGGGAAGACTTCTCAATGAATTATTACTTGTGTTGAAAGGTAATACAAGTAATAGCAATAGTTTATTAGTTAATCATAAGGATCAAAATAAAATGTCAATTCTAGAACAGTATTTGTTGGGTAAGACTGTAGCAGCGTCTCAGACTTCAGAGGAAAACATACTCACTGATTTACTATCAGCAGTAGCCTGTGCTCAAGAGTTTGACAATAAAAATTCAGATTGTTTTGTAAAAAGGAAACTAAGTGAAGAATGCGATATATCCATGAAATTAGAAAAAGATGATGATATGTCTCTTTTAAAATCTGAAAGCACTTTAGAAGAGTCAGCTGTACCTGCTGTAGGCAACGAGATGGATATAGATATAACTACGAGCAATAATGAAGAAAATGAAGTTGAAATAGGACCTTTGAAAGAATTGACGGATGGCGATCAGCAAATAGACAATGCTGACTCAGAACAATCGCGACCACCAATTCCCAAACTAAAAATAACTAGAGGAAAATCATTGAAATCGACATCTAATTCTAATGCCAACCGTGATGAAGGTAAAGATTCATCATATAAATGTTCTGTCACCACCAAGACTGAGGAGAAACCAAAATATCGGGCAACTGTCAATAGGAGATTTGGTTTGATAAGACCAAAGAGGGACGAAAAAGTTATTAAAGAGGAAAAAACTGAGAATGGTGTGATAAGAATCTATTCTGCAGAAAACCCATGTCGTAAAGTTTACCTCAAAAGAGTACAAACAACTGCTGTAGAAAAGAAAAAGAAACGGACGCCTGTGAAATATCCTTTATGTTCTACATTCCATACCAGAAGTAAAGCCAAAACTATAATGGTATTATCCCATCATGAATTGAGGAAACTAAGCCGTCAAGCAGGACATAATGCTGTATCTGGATTCAGTCATAATGCGAAACCTAATCAAAGTGTATGGCCCTACCCATGTGCCAGACCTTTGTTCAAAACGTGTTGGTTGTACCGCACCGTAAATTTACAATGGTTGGCTAGTGCAGCTCTGCAACTACGGATAATGTGGTCTTGCTTACGGTGGGACGACATGTCTGCTAAACCAGCAACTGCCGACGGTAAACATCAGTTGACTACAGACACAGAGATAGTTTCTCTCGAATTATTAAAGCATCGGCATATAGGCCAGTTTTCTGAACGTACACAATACTTAAGACGGCGAGTCGTGATACCTCTAGAATTACCGAAAACTGTGCGTGAAGTAACCTCGATTCGCAGTGGTTTACGGAAAAGGAAACGTGCCGAATCTCCCCAAAATACGGAACCTCAGGTAATATTTGGAATATTTTTTATAAAAATTGTTTATGTTTCGATTGAGATATATCAAATATCTCAATCCCTGTAACAACTTTGATGTCGATCAACTTAACAGTTATTTTTCCTACACTATCTCCTTTGATGAGAACCGTAAGCGTTTAACCTTACGTCATCTCTCTAATGTGTAAATCAATGCGGAATGTAATGTTAAGAGGACTATCTTGTTGATTAACTCCAGTGCGGTAGGCAGTAATTCAATCAGCCGCAAAATAAATATCCTGATTCCTGTAATCACAACCATTCTCAATGCTTCAGTTTCTACTGGAGTTTTTCCTTCTTCCTGGAAAGATGCCAATGTGGTTCCTCTCCCCAAACAATCAAATCCTACCTCATTTTCAAATACCGTCCATTCTCCCGTTTTTATCAAAAGTCATTGAAAATCTAATATCCCAGCAGGTCATGGCTATTCTCAATTCGAACCACCACTTCAACTCTTCAGTCTGGCTTTCGTACCCCTACGAAAGCCAGACTAAAAAGAGCTGAAGCACTACTACCGCATTGATTAAAATTTCGGAGGAAAACCGCCGAGGCTTATAGATAATAATTGATAACTAACGACTGATATCCTTCTAGGCGTTTTGGGTTCACCTAGCATATCTCCATCCGCAATTGAATAGTTTCGAAGTTTATCCGTATTGACAACACCTTGTCGTCATGGTGTGATATCAATGCCGATGTTCCTCAGGGTGGCGTCCTATCTCCTTTTCTATCTTTATAAACTCTATCACACTGTCACTTTCATGTTCATATCACCTTTATGCTGATGACTTCCTGATATACACTCAGGCCCCTTTTTCTGACTCTCTCGCGCAGTTTCGGATATCAACAGTTTATAAGGAGTTGGAGAGAGTCATTTGATCTTACCTTAAATCCTGAAAAAACTCAATCCATTATAATTGGTAGTCATTATTTTATTCCACAATCGACTTTATCTATTGCCTTCCATTGTTTTGAACGGTTCTATTATTCCCTACTCAGAAACCCTCAGGAACTTGGGTGTTGCCTTTGACCAGAGTTTCACCTGGAAACCGCAGGTGAAGGCGGTCAAAAAAAGATATTTGCTGCTTATGGTTCCCTTAGTCATTTGCGGAACTTTTTGCCTATCAGCACCAAAATCAACTTGGCAAATTCTCTCTGGAAACAGTCCATCATCGACGACGCTGACGTTTGCCACACCAATCTGTCGGGGGAACTCTTCAATAAATTAAAGCGACAGCAGAATGTTTGTATCAGGTTCATTTATAATCTCTGTAAATTCGACCACGTATCTCACTTCCGTAATAAACTAAATTGGCTCCCTATTCGCCGGCGCAGAGATCTACACACTCTTACGGTTCTCTATTCTATACTTTTCCTGCCATCTTCCCCACGTTATCTTAAGAGCCCTTTCACTTTTTTGCAAAAAAACGTAATTTTTGAGAGCCTCGTTTACCGCCTTAGTTTTCAAATTGATTTTGATTTTTTCCAATAGAAGTAATCAGTAGATTTATTCTTCCTATTGTAGGTTAATGTAGAATATTTGCAAACACTATATTCCTTTTTTTGTACTGATCGTTCTACTGCAGCTAGTTTACGGAAAAAAAGATAATAAGCACAACTTCAAACGCCTCAATCTCTCAATAATGTTCAATAAATTAGATCAAATTAATTACTACGACACCAGAAATACGTTTTGTTGTAACATAATGTATTAGAAATTTGATTTTCCGTGTCATTAATTATCAAAAAAAATATATCTAACCTCCGTGAGTTTTCCCAAAAAATAATGCAGGTTTACCTCGTATTTTGATATTGAATTAAATATAATTACTATCAAAAACTTTCATAAAACTAATCTACCATTATTGAACTACTGAATTATTAATGAACTAATTATATTTTTATAATTAGTTCATTAATAATTATTTTATAAGACTCGAAACATCACCCGTAAAATGCAATATATACTAGTGCAAATTACCTACGCGCCGATCAGTACGGCAGCGGCGGAATTTTGTAAAAGGGCTCTTAATTCCTTTAGCGATCAAGTTAAAAGCTATTTCCTATCATTATCTTAAATTCATTTTACATTTATGTAAGTATATCTCTTGTATCCTCTTTTGCACGCTTCTATATTTCTCTATAATTATTCCTTTTCTACTATAGGTTATCTGGAAGAGATTGCTATTTAGCAATAAGGCGGCCTATTGTATACTCTTCTCGTTTTTATATGTTTATGTCGTGCGTCCTTTGTTTGTTGTGGGCAATAAAGAATATAATTATTATTCTTTAATGGTTATTTTGATGGTTAGGTGTCAGAAGAATGGGTGGATGAAGATAAACTGGAACTGTGGGAAGTTCGCCAGTATGGTGAAAGAACTGAACGTGCGACCCCAGTGACGCGCACTTCCACCGGCAAGCTGCCGCAGCGAACGCCTGCCCCGCCGCCGCCTAACGCCTCTGACATCAAAGACAAGATGGAGCAGCAACTACGAGAACAAAGGGCTGCTCATCAACAAAAAAGAGCTCTCGAAATGTCTCAAGGTTTTAGTTATTTTGTTTATTTTGAAAATTTGGATGTGTGAAAATTTCTTTTTGGAACATAAACTTTATTACCGCATTATAATTTTATAAAAACTGTTTTCCAGATAAGGCGAAGACACCTAGTCAGAATTCTGGCAAAAGTACACTAACATCGTTATTGACCACAAACTCTTCGACTCCGACTGGCCAAAAAACCATCATCGGAACTAGACGAATAATCATGACAAAAGGAGCTGACGGTTCCACCCGGGTCATCAGTCAACCCGCCGCCGGTGTCACGAAAACCGCGATCGACAGTCCGGCGACGAACAAAGTCACGGCTACTCCGCAAAAGGACGGCCCTCAAAAAGTCCAGATCATTCGCGCACCCGACGGAAAGATTACCGTTCGGGGATTGCTCGCGGGGCAACAACTGCTGCAGATGCCGGACGGGAAGTTGCACATCGTCATGTCCGGCCAGCAGGGCTTAGCCGGCCAGCTGGTGTCTGCGTCCCCGGGTACGAAACCTGCTGAGGCGGCGCAAGAAAAGGAGGAGCGGGGCGCGAATCAAACTAAAAACGTAAACGAGGAACCGAAACCGGCGCCGCGGCTAGCGCCCGCGGGTCAGCAGATCCTACTGCAGGGGAACAGGCAGCTGGTGATGCAGCCAGCGCAGCAGGTGGTGGTGCAGCAGCAGCAGCCGCAAGTAGTGGTGGCGTCGCCGCAGCAGGTGGTGGTGCAGGCGAGCGGGCGGCCCCGCGCGCCCCTGCAGACGGTGCTGGTGCAGGGGCAGCTGATGCCGCGACCCATCACCCCCGCCCCCGCGCCCGCGCCCGCGCCGGCACCCGCGCCCCGCCAGCCCGCGCCGCGCCCGCGACCTCCCGCCACGCAGCAAATCGTCGTCAACAACCCCGCGCTAGTGCAGCAGATCGCCGCTGGGAAAATTCAGCTCGCCACGGTGAACGGTCAGCAGGTGCTGATCCGGCCGACCGGCAACAACCAGGCGCAGATCGTCGCCCACATCGGTCAGAGCCCGGCGCCGCCCCCCTCCCCCGCGCCCGCCTCCACGCCTGCGCCTATCGCGCGCCCCCAGCCCATCGCCCCGCAGCAGCAGATCCAACAAGTACAACAGCCGCAGACCATGACCGAGGATGAGATTGTCGAGAAGCGACTGTTGGTCGGTCAGCCGCCTGGTACAGTCATCAAAACTGTCACTGCGCAGGTAAATACATACTTGTCCGTTTTCTTTTATTTTAGTTACAATTATACCCTATTTTTTTCATTATAATGTTTTTATTATTTGTTCACTAGGTTATGCAGACGAGTAGCGGTCCTAGTATAGTTCTTCAAGGTCTTCATGGATATTCACTCACACCACAACAATTGGCGTTAGTTCAGCATCAAGTGAAACAACAGCTACTGAAAGGTGAGTGAAGTTTTGATGAAGCGAATATCATAAAAATTTCTTTTGTCGCATTATTCAAACCTTAAAAAAACACACCTTAAAATGCACCTCATAAAAAGATTATCCACATAAATAAATTAGAATAAATAACATTTATTTTCAATTGACAACAAAACAACTCTCAGCAGTGTTATACCGTTGCAAAACACATCTAGCTTCTTAGTCACCACCATAAAGAAATCCTTATTGAGAGTTAAAATTAAGTTTCATCATAGCATTCCTTCGTTCATGTAAAGTTATCTTTTCAGCGCAAGAGTCGACTGGTAAACAAGGCATGCTGGGACCAAGGAAGATGTACTTGGCCGTACAGCCGGCCCCCTCCGCGCCCCCACCGTTGGCGCCCGTGGTGCCGCAGCCCTTGCAAACGATGCCTGTTCCTCACCAGGTAATATATTACTACTAGAAACATAGCAGAGTTAGAGTGAAACTTGCTATGAAGACCTTTATCGTATTGACATATTTCGTTGACCTCTTGGTACTGACCTTTATTGTACTGTCATATTTCGTTAACCTCTCTTGGTACTGACATATTTCGTTGACCTATCTTGATCCTTTTTCATATGACATTTACATATTTTTGACCTATCTTGGTCTTTTGTTTCGAATGTGCGAAGGGATACCACTACCTAGATCTAGACTGATTTGATACATTCTAAATAAAACATATTGATAAACAAAGTTCTCGTTAGATCCTTAATATTTTTTTATATATCTAAAAAGAAAAATAAGTCCTTATTAGATCCATCATGGATCTATCAATATATCTGAGAATGAACGTCGCAAACTCAGAGGAGTCCGGAGTTCCGTCATGTGAATTGAAAACAATTTATGTATTGATAAAATACAATCATAAATTATTTAAGGATAACTTGTTTTAATAACTAATTTATCACCATGAACTATTAAATAAAAAGGAAATATCAGTTATTTAAGTAAATATTTCATTAATATGTCGATACTACCGGCCGCCTGCGACTTCGCCCACGATAACTTTCATTTGTCAACAATTTCTCAGGAATCTATTTTTTTTTTTCGGGGTAAAAAATGTTTCAATCCAGTTAGTAAACTATAATGTGTGCAAAATTTCCTCCAAATCCGTTTAGCTGTTTTTGTGTAATTGAGTAACGAACATACCAACTTTCACATTTATAATATTTGTATGATTAAAAAATTTAATTATTATCACATATAGAATTGGGTGTACTGGGTAAAAATATATTTCTTTTTATTCGTTGTTAGATTATACCTGTGACTTTGTCTGCATTATAGTTCCTCTCTTTGTTTAAGTTAGATAATTCTACAGGAAGCAATTATTTTCTGAAAAAACCGGCCAAGTGTGAGTCGTTCTCGCGCACCGAGGGTTCCGTACAAACTTAATTTAATACCTCTACGCGTTCATGAGAAAAGAGGTAGTAACTTTAAATTTTCAAAAAATATTTTTCATTATATGATGTAACTAAAAAATGCAATTTTTCCTTTATCTGTACTATAAGACGTTACTTCATACCAAATTTCAAGATTCTAAGTTAACGGGAATTACCCTGTAGGTTTTGATTCCCATGATGATTTTTTCACAGCTCCAAGTGACAGTAGACTATAGTAGATGTATTAGATATGAATTTCAGTGTGATACATCCACCCGTTCCTGAGAAAAACGGTCTTGACAGACGGACGGACAACAAAGTGGTTCCTGTAAGGGTTCCGTTTTTTCCCATTGAGTTACGGAACCCTAAAAATGTGTCATACAGTTTTAATCCTAATTCATTCATTAATAATGAAGATCCCAATATTACAAACGTGATTATTTTATACCATAAAGGTCTTCTTAAGAGAAACATTACGTTTAAACTGAAAAATTGTAATGTAATTTAAAGATGTGAAAGTATTTTTATTTAAATTGATACATTAATATCTGCATTTATCATGTGATGGTGTATAATCGTCAATTCATAAGTTGATATTAGCCCTTAACAAAACCACAATACAATCTATTTGTATTTTTCTGTAGCATTTTTGAATAATCATAATAAGATGCCAATTTTTTTATCCTGTGAATTTTCAAATAAGCCAGTGACCAAAGTTTTCAGCTTTATTTTAGGATACCATATTTAACAGGTGTGACCACTTAAATTCTAAATAAGTGTTTTTACCTGACATGAGTTTTTTATTATTATTTTATATTCATTATTTTTTTTTATAAGCGTAAGCTTTATTCTCCTGGTAGAACACCCCGAGTAGCAAATAAATTATCTGGGGTTTAGTGCTTTACAGTGCTAGTAGCTTTCTTTTTTAACTAGTTCATTTTCAGCCATTTAAAGTGATATATTCAAATAAAGAAGACTGGTTACTTACACTCACTATCACTGTTATCAAGTCTTTTGTAGCAAAAGGGGTTAATATCACTTCGTATGTTTATATATTAGTTAATTTTTGAGTCACAAATTGAACTAACATTCATTTCAATGTTTAACTCCTTTTATTTTAACGAAATACAATACGAACAGCAACAAATTATTGTACGAAAAATACACCAAAGATATGGACATAAGTCATAAGTAGACAATGTATGTGTGAATAATGTAAAACTATTTATATTTTAAAAATAAGCTCTAGAGGTAGCTAGATTAAAGTAACAAAATCAATCAATTAGAATTAATGTGATGTAAAATAGATGTCCAATACATCTATTTACTTATTTTATATGACTGATTCGTCTCGCTATAATAAAATAACTATTTATTTATTCCTAACAATGTCATAGACAGCTTTAAGACAATGTAAATTTTTTGTATCTACTGAAACTGACTTTCAGTAACTGTGGTAATAGGAAAAGATTTAAGGCGTGCGCACGCAGAACGTGAGGTGGCATCCACTTGATATTTAAAAATAGGGGGGTAATAGTAACGTATTAAATTAAATCATACTTGGAAAGCACCATCGTGGTTAGTCTGTAACCCCCTTATTCCTGAACGCGGACTAAAGTTCTTTGACTTTCGTCTTGGTTTAAACCTAATGTTGTCTCTGTCTTTTTTTAGCAAACAAAAGTGACAGCATCAGTTTTAGTTGAGGTTTAACTTGAGTTTACGTTTTGTAATAAGGCGGTAACAGTCTAAAGGTCGCATTATCTGCTTACGCGCGCCTTAATCGTGTGAAGTTTATGTTTGTGGACAACATTTTACATTGATAACGTGTAAGGCATATTGGTAACAATTTTGTCTGTAATATCGTATTTTAAAATAAACTAATGATATAAAAATTGCTCATACACCACCTGTCAACAGTTATCTGATGTAGTAAACAGTATCAACTTTTATATAGGTAACATACATTACTCGTGCAATATTATTTAATAAACTAATGCAATTAACTCTCGACTTTCATTTCTACCAGGACCTGTTTTAAAATTTTTGTTATTTTATTTTTATTGTTAACGTTTTGTGGGGGTGTATGGGCAATCAATTAGAGCAAAAAAAAAACATGAAAACCCTTAGGTTGTATCATAATTATATGAACGATGTCAAAGAAATGTTACCACACATGTCACAAATATATTCCCACAAACGATGCAATTAATTATTTGGTTTATTCTTTTAAAAATTCTTTAGTTTGTTCACATTTAAAAAACCTTATAAAGGTTTTCCATGGAATTCGTGGTTAATTTTTATTTGACACAATTTGTGTCTTCTTTTATTTTTTTAGGATATCAATGAAGACGAGTCCGTTAAACATCAATCTCTTCTTAACGGCGAAGATAAAGTAGCTGAAGCCGCTAGCCATAAAGAAGCTACGCCTTCTAAACCAGAGGATATACAGGAAAATAATACTAAAACAGATATCGTTAATTCCACACTAGACGGAGTACAGAGTAATAAGTTCGTGCTCACTCCTGACTACATACAGCAAAGTAAGTATTGATTACTAATTTTCTGTGTTTGATTTAATACCTTATTTGGATTATTTGTTTCTTAAATTTTCACACACACCACTCATTAAATGAAATACGCCTAGACGGGTTCAAAATGCGTCTTTTTATTACTTTTATGACGTCTCATATTATTTTCAGGTTGCGCTGTCAGAATTATGAATGCAGAATTTAAAACATACAGAAATTAATACAGAATTAAGACGCATTTTGAGCCCTTTAGGCGTGTTTCATTAGAGTATTTGGATTCACTGTGTTCGAAGTGATATTACCAAGTTGGCTTCTTTCAGCGATCAAAAGCGCTCTCAAACAAGAGAACCTGAATCCGGAGATCGAGGAGAAGCTGCTGCAATTGCAGCGGTACCAGGAGAAGCGCATGAAGCCTGAAGCGCCCGTAGAGAGGGAGGTGCGCGTGGTGCCGGTGGCGGCGCAGTCTCCGTCGCCGCCGCCTCGACGCCGCGCCGCCTCCTCGCGCCACGACGACGACGACGAGTGGGTGGACAGCAGCCCCCGCAAGCGGTCCCGCCCCTCGCGCGCCCCCACACCGCCCCCGCCGCCGTCCGCGCCCATCACCCGCCCCCCTCTCCGCGCTGCCGCCGCCGCCGTTCCCGCCCCCGCCCCGCCAACCCCCACTTCACCCGCGCCCGCACCCGCACCACCTCCTGCACAAGCCCCTACACCCAAACCCGCCCCAACACCTACACACGCCACCCCGACGACACCTCACACGCCCATCTCCGCATTGGAAGAACGACGCCGCGCCGCTTCCACCCACTCGCGCCTGCAAATGCTACTATTCAAACACAAGGAGATGCTGAAGAAAGAAATTATAAAAAAGAGGGGCCTCCTCGAAAAGGAACTTGGAGTCGAGATACAGGTTGTTATTAAAACTAGCCCCCTTATTAGTAAACGAGGAATATGCTAAGACTAGATACGCTGTGTTTAGTTTCTATCACTCAAATACCATCTGACACTCAATGAACAGAGACAAAACATTCAGTTGCTAATCCGAGCATAATCTTGGTTTATTAATTAAGGGGGAATGAAATTTCTATCTCTTTGATAAAGATTCATGAACGTGTTTATGTTTTGTAGAAAGAGCTGTCCGCCGAATTAGCGTTACGAACTAGAGCGGAGCGTAACAAACAGGAAGAGGTGCGAGGCGGGAAACGGCGTACTGCGTCCGGTTGCGCCCGCGACTCGACGCCCAAATCTAACAAACGTAGTGTCAAAAAGGAGAAGCTGTTGTGTATTTGTCGCACTCCTTATGACAACACCAAGTGAGTGACGGTTACTCCCGACTATTCCTATTCTTGTGACAACTTCGTGGTGTGAACAGAATACTATAATAACGTTTTCTTTTTGTTTAGATTTTATGTGGGTTGCGAGCACTGCAGCAACTGGTTTCACGGTGATTGCGTGGGAGTCACTGAAGAGATGAGTAAGACCATGGAAGAATATGTGTGTCCGGATTGTAGGAGAGCAGAGGAGACACAAGAGCTATATTGTCTTTGTAGGCAACCATATGATAATTCACAGTAAGTATGGTTAGTTTAGTTTGAAACAAAATAATCAAAATTATATTGTTTGAATAAAATTTTCAATTTATTTTAGGTTTTATATATGCTGTGATCGATGTCAAGATTGGTTTCATGGCAGATGCGTGGGTATTTTGCAATCAGAGGCAGATAATATTGATGAGTATATATGTCCGAATTGTCAAAAGAACAATTCTGTAAATTTTGCTAACATGAAAGAGCTCACCCCTAAAGACTTTGAGAATTTAAAGAGATTAGTGAAGCAAATTCAATTACATAAGAATGCTTGGCCTTTCATGGAGCCGGTAGATCCTAGAGAAGCACCAACATATTATAAAGTTATAAAGGAGCCAATGGGTGAGTAAAATATTATATTTAGTCAATTTTATTTATCTTAGATTAAAACAAAAAGGGGAGATACGGTACGCTCATTCTAGCATCAAGTAAAATATGTTCCGACTTAACTACAGAAGCAACTCTCACACGCAGAACAGAACTGTACGCTTCAACGCAGCGCGAGCGAAACGGCGAGTCCGCGTTGCTGGGCACCCGACTCTACAAACGCTGTATTGTTGTCCTTTTCTTGATAACTATTGGCGAATAAGTAAATAACATCTATGACAAACCGTGACTTTAAGGTGTTTTTTTTAATAGTTTTACGAATGAAAAGAGTTGCCGTGGCATTTGTTATTTTATCTTGAATTATTTGTGTTGTTTATAAAAGTATCGAAGGCGTTGCTTTATTTTTATAACACGGAATATAAGCAATGTGTTTATATTGAGTGTAAATAGCGTGTTTGAATGTCCAATTGTGATAAAACGAATTGTGGTCATGCACTACAATTTAGCGGTACACTTTTGAGCCGCGAGTGCCGTCTCTTCAGTGCCGTCTTTGACCTATTGGAAGCCCTGGGCATATTAGGATAATGGGGTCCCCGTTTGGTGATCTGAGGTCGGCCCCTATTGATCGCGAGGCCCTGGGCACTTGCCCAAAGTGCCCACTGGGAGAGAGGGGTCTGCGTCTCTTCCCTTTTTGTTTTATCCTAAGTTATATATTTATTTAAAAAATAATTTTACATATGATGAAATATATATACAACGAAAAATGGAAATATGTACTAGGGCACTTCTTTTTTCCTTATTAAAATTTGTTCAGCAGGTCCGCAAAAGGATAGAGTATAAGAGAGAGTGTAAGAGATCTTAGTAGATGTACTAATTTAGGTATGAAATAAACTCTGATATAGGGAGTATATTGATGACGCCAGATTTGCAGCGCTGTCCCCAAGGGATACGGAGATAGGGTATTAGGTTAGACTGATAGCATAAGCCCATCAATAGGTATTAAATCTACATCATTACAACCAGGCGATATCTTAGAAAACCTAAAAAAAAGAACAACTATTTGATCCATTGTTTATCTTGATAGTATTGCATAATATACCAGTTTTTGGGCATCTCACTTATCTGCCTTTTTGACCACAATAAGCTTTATTTCCTTTTTCTTTTCAAAAAATAAAATAGAGTAAAAAGCGCACAACATACACACGCAAAAAAACTTAACATTTAGTCAGGGATACTCTTGGTTTAAAAAGTCTTCCGCAAAAAGATCCAATTCAACAACTTTTTATTTTTATGTGTCATAACTTGATGTGTAATTGACGGCAAAGGCACCCTACACCAACCGCTTGCTTAGCATGCCTTTTGAAGCATGGAAGAGCTCGAGACAATAAATTTTGGTCACCCATCCAATGACTCGTCATTACGAAAGTTCCTTAACCTCCACCATCGCTGACCGAACGCCCTAACCACTTGCGCTCCTCAATTCATGTATTATTAACAATATTTGTTTTTTTTGCAGATCTACAAACCGTTGAAAGAAAAGTGAATGAAAAGACTTATAGTACTCTGAGTGAGTTTATTGGTGATATGACTAAAATTTTTGACAATTGTCGATACTTCAATCCTAAAGATTCCGAATTTTATCGCTGTGCGGACGGTTTGGAAGCATATTTTGCACAAAAAATTAAATTCTTTAGAGAAAAGCTATTTGAATCTACTCCATGATAATAGTGCCAGTGTATAGTGTCTACAAATAGGAATTATGTGATTGAATCAAATTGGCAGACTTAAGAAGAAATTACAAACATGTAGCTATTCATTTTTTTCTTTATGATCTGTAACAACTGTAAATTATAAACAAATGTGATGAAATTTACAAAGAATAATAATTTATATTAAAGTAATGTTTGAATGTATCTATTGAGTTGAGTATGCCAAGTCCGGTTCCATGTTAAGTATTTATTGTATTTATTACATGCTTTCCCCATTTCAAGGCTGACTCACTCTTTAGATGTCATTAAACTCCAGAAATAATAATTATATGTATACAGTTTGTGAAATATTATGTTAGCTAATGTAACTTAGCAAGTTTAGTTATCTTGGTAGTGCTTAGCATAAGATAATACCTATTTGTATGTAAGTAATAAATTTTTAATAATATACATCTCAATGATGCCTTGAAATGTTTTTGAATCTACTCCAGAGCATGTTTTGATGGCCTATTAAATAGTTTATTATTATTACATGGCCCAGTAATAAGCTATTTGAGCGTTGTTAAGCAGAACAACCAGCGGACAAAAGTGCATGAATGAAGTTTGATATTAGCTGCGTCCGGTACTTACTTCGCAGAGGCGACGGATTTTTGGTCATAAGATCCTGTATCACTTTACATAGATTAATCTGAGTAAATTGATATTAGGGACTGCCCGACTTCTTACCTCACAACATGACATAACCAGATGAATCTTTTTAGTCTGTTAAAATACTTCGAGTAAACTGATTTACATCGGACCGATCAGTTCGAGTTTGCGAGTCCGAAATGTCATTGTCAAATATGTACTGTTCTCGTTACGTACTTTGTGCCGCTGCTGTTCAAGTTTCCATACAAAACTTGACATAGATATTTCGGTTTGCAAACTATTCGAATTCGATAATGGTTCGTGCTAGGGGTGCTGATCGGAATTATCAAACAGTTCTGATTTACCTCCTAGGGGAGGTAGATGATGTTAGAGTTATAAACGAACCTCTAGATGTTATAAACGAACTATTTACACTAAAAAGATTGATCAGACGTAAATAACGAAAGCAGCTTCTGTTTGATCCCAAAAAATTACCAATGGTCGCTTTCTACTTAACACTGCGCATTTGACAGATTGAAAAATGAAGTACCAATTGTTTGCATCTGTATTTAATATGAATATTAGCAGCGATTTTACTATTCTGATGGAACAAATAATTGAAAAATTATGAAGCTCCAGTAGTTTCTGTACTCACTCACTACAGGAACCCAAAAAATCAGTGTTATTTAGGGTTTTCAGGCAAGTAGGCCACGATATTGAATACCCCTTGATACACCACGTACGCTCAAAATGTGCCCAATCAAGAAGTGCTTGAACACCACTCAAGCGCTTCCTGGTTCACAGTTACGCGCGGACCCTGAAAAAGTCAAGTAACCGCAGACTTCGGTGAAAACATGCGAAAAAAATACTTATAATAAGTAAAGTTTCGTTTTTTGTTAATTTAATCGATGTTAAGTATGGCTTTCACTTTTACTAACATGATGCACTATTTGTTTTTCGTGTAACAATCAAACTTACTTTTTTATGCACAAAAATCTTACCTTGAAAAAATTGTGTACACAAACTACACCAGACGTTCACATGTCAACTGTCAAAAATATAGCCGCTCGTCAAGCCGCTGTCCACAGATTACAGAAACTCAGTGTTGCCACTTCCCCATTTGAACTTCACCGATTCCTAAAGTTTAATAGAACATGGAGAATAGGTGGCGTTGACAAAGTGGCGTATAAGTACAGTTTTTGACGGAAACTTATTTGAAATCATTTTCAAGGAAATTCTTAGGATAAACGTTGCTAAATTAAAAGCACGGATAGCTATTAATATAAGTATTCTTAAAGTATCAGCCATGTCTCAAAAACTGACATACTTTTTGCTACTACGATAGTTAAAGTGCACCTCTACCTCGGCGGATAGAAGTTTTTGTGTAATTTTACTACCTTTTTTCAGATTTCATTCGAAATATATTTTTTGTTTATTAACTGACCTGAAATAATCATAATATCCACTTGAGTCACTTTGTTGCTTAATCCAAAGCCGTCATCGAAAATCCGGTATCTATAATACTTTTCAAAATACTGACCGCGGAGAAAACAGTTTTCAAAATCAGCAAAAAATACCGGCCTGACTCTTTTATGAAGCAGTTTCTGACGATTTAACGTATTTTATTTGAAGACTTGTAAGAAAAGTTTTTATTTCCCACTTTTTATAAGCTAATCATATTTCTTAAAATAACCAAACACGAACTAAGTTCTTACTTTTTGTAATCTAGAAGTTTGTTTTTATATATCCGAAAGTACTTTGCATCTTCACTAAATGAATAATTGGAATTTGGGACTATCTCGCCAAAAATTTATTGAAATGAAAAAAGATAAAAATAGGTTACGTATCTCTTTCACAAAATAGCCGAGGGATAATTACATCCTCTTACCGGAAGCGAAATTTATAACCGTAGGTACCTAGGTATTAAATAGATGCGCTGGATTGCTAATTAAAACGCTCTACTGACATGCCTGCCGCAGGGACAATCTAGGGTACACACATGCCTGCTATTCAGTGTTCGGGCGTATGTTGAGCTAATCACACGCGTTGATGATGGTCCCAGTGTTATCAAAAAATATGTTACCGTAAAAAAGCAAATACTGCATGAAGAATTGGCAACAGAAAGAAATGTATTGTAAATAAGTAATGTTTATGATTAGAAAAAAATCCACGCGGACCTGGTAGCAGACGGGACTCGCACCCGCACCCTTCGCTATCCGGGCGAATGCACTGATCAATTATGCTACCGCGGCCCTGACGGCCGTATCGAATTCTTTCTAGCCTTTCTTAAGCTGCAAGGCAGCGCCATCTCTTCGCATTATATGTAACCCACAATATCAAATGAATACCTTTACAAGTATTAAACATTTAAAAGAAGAAATAGCAATTAAAGTCATAATTTTAATTTTTAAAGCATGTAACTGCTCAATGTTTGAATTTAAGAAAATATTACAAGAAACAATTTAAAAAACCCTATTTCTATTTTTCTAGTAATATTTTCTTTATATTTAAACATCGAGCAGTCGCATACTTAAAAAATGAAAATTATTAAAAAAAATATATAAATAATGTTTGCTTTTTTTATCCCACATGTGGGGCCGGTCTTTATTTTATATACTTCGATGACTCGTGTCCAAACTTCACGCTCATTATGATCTGCCGCCATCTTGATCAAAATACGTGCGCTGCGTGTGACAGCTACTAACCGACTGATTGAGAAATTGGCCCAATCGCGCTACACACGCGGCAACGTGCAGGGCGGTTGGGACAATCTAGTGAGCAAGGGTGGTCGCGCGCTCCTGCCGCCCTGCCGCAGGCCCGATTTAGAAAATTGCCCCAACTTGCCTACACACATCACAATTCAGGGTCATCCCCACTCTTACACCCTAGATTGTCCCTGCGGCAGGCATGTCAGTAGGCGCTTTTACGATGCGAGAAATTTTCAAGGATGATTCACGTTAGGCCGTGTCGACCGGAGCACAGATAACTAATATTAAATAAGATATTTATCATGGATGACGGACACATTCACGGTATACTGGGAGATAACCGACTGACAACCGAGCAACGAACAACGCTCGGAAAAAACTTGCTCCCTCCTCGGCACGGCCACGGCCCGTTGCATGAATAGCGCCGCGCCGCGCCGGTGCGGTGCCGCTGAGCAATCGTATCTCAGACCACAGATAAAAAAATTTGAAAAAAGAAACAATTTGTATGAGTAGACTGCATCACGGCCAGAGTCGTCTTAAACCTATTGGAGGCCTTGGGCATATTAGGATAATGGGGCCCCTATGACTTTGATGTGGATTATGACTTGAAAAGGAGCGAGTCATACTGGTGTTGATGTACTACTGATGATTTTTCTTTAAATGCGTATCTGCTGAATATACCATTATATGTATATTTAAATTGATCTAAGCATGCTGAAATTGGCGAGACTAATTTTTGAGCGAGAGTAGAATAGCCTCGCTTAAGTAAAAGCTAATAAGTTGGTATTGTAATCAATAATTTAGGTTCGATTTCATCGAGTTATACTCATAAGGTTTTTGGTAATAAATTTTAGTTATTGTTTGGTGATCTGACAGGAACTAGGGACTTTGTATTTGATCGGAGAGGGGCCCTGGGCACTTGCCCAAAGTGCCCACTGGGAAAGGGGGTCTGATCACGGCGCAACGGTACCTACCTAATTACTCGCTCGAGGCACGTTTTTATAAATCACAGGTACGGGATCAGCTCGGTGGCCGTGCTACGGCTTCGGACTCGACATGGTCTAGCGTGACTGATCAATAGTGCAGTCATTGAAGCATTATTGCTCCGAATTTTTTTACTGTGAACCGAATTGCATACAATTTTGGAATTAGGTTCATCTTACCCTTAACTTCAAAAGTGAAAATGATTTGAACTCCGCAACCACCCTGGGGGTGGTTGCCACCCCTTCTCGGGGTGAATGTTTTTTTTTCAAAATAATCGGAGATCGATAGAAGGCCTAATTTAAAGCAAAAAATCATCTATAAAGTTTTTCAAAAAATCCATTACTTTTCACGTTATTGGCAATTGAAAATTCGAAATTTTTTCACGTTTTTCATCGGTTTTTTGCAAATATCTCCAAAAATATACGTTTTATCGAAAATTTTATAAAGACCAAAATTGTAGCAGGTAAAACAATGAACAATTTGGTTTTTTATAAAGTATTGTAAGTGCAATATTAAGCTAGATATTAAGGATCAAAGCCGTTTTTTATTTTGTCTGAATTTTAATCACTTGGTCAATGCCATCTAGCGGCGGGCAGATGCATTTTATGCATTCTAATACAAAAGGGTGCTTGAAATAAGTTTAAAATGAGCACTATTAAAAGTCTTTTGCACGTAAAGTAAGTGAGCTGTATTGCAAATAAGGGGAGCATCTAATGTTTTTTCTTTTAAATCAATGAGTTTCATAAGTGCCATTTCCACCAAAATTAAAATTAATCGTATTCCGCCTAGAATTAACTTTATTATGAAGAGTTTGATAGATAGTATCAGTTTGGCTGCTTCAGGACACATATTTTTCAAAAAAGTCACGATTAAAACAAAAACTAAATTTCAATTTTTAAAAATCCCACTGTTTTTAATATTTTTTCTCTAAAATGACGACAGATACGTATAAAAGTGTATGGATTAAAAATTTAGGTATTTTTCTGACAAATAATTAGGTTTTTTTGTTTTTTCTGTCAAACAAAAATTGACGGAGATATGATTGTTTAAAGAGGGCGTGGCAGCGCAATCACAAGCCCTTTAACCCTTCACCGTTTTAGAAAAAGGTTTTTTACTATATATTGCAATGAAGGATGTTGTAGCTCTCT